ACTGCTGATGAGTCCCAAATATAGGACGAAACGACCGTCCAGTGATTTCTGCATTCTGTTGAGGTTTCTTTGAAGACTCGATGAATTACTTAATTATACAAATCAAATCCTTAATTTTTATCTATATATATTTTATATATATATATATATATATATATATATATATATATATATATATATAAAGTTTAAGTTCCTACTGAAAAAAATAATAAATTATACTTATAAATAAGATATTTTTAAATGATTAAAAATAATTCATTTATTTAATAAATTATATTATTTATATAAGATATATATATATATATATATATATATATATATATATATATATATATATATATATATATATATATATATATATATATATATATATATATATATATATATATATATATATGAATGTGTATATAAATATAAATAAATATATATATGTATAATTATTTATATATTATATACGCGGTACTTATTAGAAAGCGCTCAATATCAGAGATAGAAATAACATATTTGGTTGATAGATTGAGTTTAGAAAAACAAACTCACATCCAATCCAATATATATAATATATATATATATATATATATATATATATATATATATATATAAACTATAAAAATGGACTGGTCAATTCATAAAAATCTGAAAACATTTTAATGAAATAATTTATGTATGTTAGAAATCTTTAGATTCTCTTCCAAACCGAAAAATTTAGTTTTAGCTATTGACCTTAACTCTTTTGTGCACCATAACAGATTTTTTGGAGACTGAGGGCGCAAAATTATTTCTCTTAAGAGTAAATAAACGGATATATACATTTTTTTTTTTTTATAAAAAGAACAAAAACTTCACAAAAAAATTTAGAAATAAATCAATAATGTTAGCACATTTTCAAACTTGACATTTGTAAGTAACAGCTAAGTGACTTAGCCTAAGGTCAATAACATTTAAAATTATGGATCAGTTTGACACTGAATTGATGATATAAACAATGCCCATCTACCAAATCAATATCAAAGGATCAGCGTAGGAAATAGTGGTGGATATTAATATACAAGTGTCACTTATAGTTATGTACTAACAGGAAACACTAAAGACCGTTGAAATTTGAAATTTTAAACATTATTTTTACTCAGATGTTTCTAGGCATGTAGGGTAACCGATTTCGTTCAGTTTCCTTATATTTTCCTTATTTTTTATCATATTTTTTCGGCTCCGTTCGACTAATTTCAATTAAATTGAAATGTCAGACGACGACAATATTTACTACGAACTACGAAGGAAATAAGATCGTAACTAACGTTGCCTAGCCTAAAATTAAAATTTTAATATTTTAAAAAATTATTTAAGTTAACTCTGCCTCTTGAAAAAAATAGTTTTAGGAGCCAGCATCATATTGCTTTTACATCTAAATTAAATATAAATACATTTTTTCTGATAAATATTAAGTAATTTTTATAGGTCACATATAAACTATTTCTGTGTAAATATAATTAATATAAAATAATTTTATCGATAGAGACATTGGTTAATAAATGACAAAGTTTCAAATTTGAATTAAAAATAAATGACACATATGAAATATTTATTGAAATTATTATGCTAATTAAATGCTACCCTTGATGATGTGGCACGAGGCATTTTTAATGTGGGTTTCTCTGAGCCCGTAGGCCCAGCCAAAAATAAATAACCGAAAGTATAGGGTGCACAGTGAGGATCGAGCACTATTTTCAGACGTAATTGAACTAGCGAGACAAAATTATAAATCATTACACCACGTCGATGTGTCTATGCCCAGTATCTGAAGAATCGTTCAGTAAATCTACCACAACAGACGATGAAAAATGGGTTGCACACAACAATGTTCAGCATAAAGGCAGTGTATTTACTAAGGTAATTCTCCATAGCCGTCCACTAAAGATGAGCTCCCTGGAAGAAAGATAATGCTTTACGCCGGTGCATTATATTATGTAGATGGAGTTTAACGATGGTTTCGCCTACAGTAGGTTAGTTCATTATTATTTATTAAAACAATGGAGTGTACAGGTCTGTAAATATAGATTTACACTGTATAGAAAAAGACAGGGATGTCTTCAAAATATAAAGTTTAAAGTAATGTTGAAGATGACAATATATATAATCACAAATATATATGAACATCAAAAATAACCTGTTGTTAACAGGGGCAAATAATGGCTTTTTAATTTTAACACCTCTAAATCAAAACTGCACTTTATTAAACATCTGAAAGACTTCATTCTACCTTCCATCAGCGTTACTGATGATGACCTTCACTTGATTCGTTACGCGTTTCTCTTAGCAAGGTCGATTTTATTGTTTTTAAACTAAAATTCTCCATGATTTTCTTTCGCACATTCATATCTGCTCGATGCGTATCCAAACGTAAACAAATGACGTCACACATTATGAAATGGACAAAGTCCGACAATTATTTTAAGATATTTTTTTTATGTTTATTCGTCGCTAACCAAAACGCTCCTCTGTGGCTCAATCGGTTAAGGCACGTCAGGCTATATGACGGTTCCGTATAGGATACAGGTTCGATTCCTGTCGGAGGACGCATATTTTCTATGAGAATTTCTCGGACATTCAGACCGGTAAATGTTGGTAATACTGTTTGTTATAAACAAAGAATTTACTTAAATATTTGTATCTATAAAAAGAACGATAAACATAAAAAAATGTCTTAAAATATATATATATGTCCATTTCATAATATATATATATATATATATATAGAAAATGTTGCAAATTAAAAAAATAATAATATTTTTTATGAAAGTATTTATTTATTTATATATATATTTGATATTTCAGATTGACCTCAATCTTTCTTCAGAAATAACTGTTTGTTTACAAGTATCGTCCGTCGCGAGACGCGGACGTCACGTGATATGGAACGCCACTGTGTTCGAATATTCTTAACGTAAATCTAACTGTAATAACATTTTAGATGTTGTTTACAAATGAAAAACATTTTTTAACTATATCTAAAAAAAATGTTTAACTATTGAAATATTTATAAAGATTTAAAATACCCAAGTCTTTATTTAACCCTAGTTTATATGTATTTAATTTTAAAATCCAGTATTTATCTTTTTTTTTCTGCGTGTGTATGTGGAACTGAAATCGGAATCTATCAATAAACATTTACAGTTTTCTAATGATGTACTGATTGAATAAAGTGATTATATATATATATATATATATATATATATATATATATATATATATATATATGGCGTATTATAGATATTACTAAATATTTCTTGTAATCCGTTTGCACATTTTCCCGTGTTAATTATGTTCTAGTACATCTGTACTAGCATTAATATATTGACCGTGCATAACTATGGCGCATAAGATTATTAAAATATTCCTTTTATTTGTCGATTACTCAAAAGCTATTAAGGTTTTTAAGAATCTAAAATGATGAGAAAGCAAAAATATGTAACTATTATAATCTTAGATTAATTATAGGTATCTCCATGAGATCGCTAAAAACAGCGCATAGTCTGACGAAAAAGACGTCAAACTTGACGAAAACAAAATTTTATCGCCAAAATGTTTATATTACTATTAAGAGTAAAGAAGAAAGTAATTTTCAAAATTAATGTCTGTCATAAGAAAAACAATGAACAAAAAATTTGCCATGTTATTTACTAGAGTTCCGGTGATGACGAGAAACAAGATTTTTCAATCAAAAGTTAAAACGTTCTAATAAAGACAGAAAAATTTTAAAAAATAATGAAAAATTACTTTGTTCTTTCCCCTTAATAGTAACATAAACATTTTGGTAATAAAATTCTGCTTTCGTCAAGTTTAAGGCCGTTTTTTCATGCTATGCCTACTTAAAAATAACGAGGTAAATAAGTTGTTAATGTAAAGAGAAATTGTCACTTATGACCTTCCGAACTATAAATTTCCGCACGTAATATGTCAGTGCTTGATGAAAAACACGCACATGTCATTTGTCAATCAACACCGCAGTTCAGACCGGCTTTCTCCCATTTGAAAAAACATGTTTTCATCACAGAATCTTTGTTTCAAAATATATTAAATAAACTTTCTAATTTCTAATTTTTTTTTTAATTAATTAAAAAAAATTCATAATTGATTTTCTAAATAAATTTTAAATGTATAACATATCACTTTTTAAACAAAAGTTAAAAAAAACAACTGATGATCGATTTTTCTGTCAATTTTTCCGATTCAAAAAATTGAAGAGTTTTAACGAAAATTTTGGATGTGCTAGAAATTATTAAAAATGTAAAAAAAAAATATTAAAAAAATTTTTTTGATCTTTCCTCTTGATAATAACATTAACATTTAGACGATAAAAAATTATTTTCATCAAGTTTAAGGCCTTTTTCATGGTAAGCTATTTTTTTATCGATCTCATGAACATACCTAATTAATTACTTCCGTAAATTTCACTTCAAAACATCTACAATCAAAATGGATAAATAAATGCTTATATTATGATACGTATGGCAGGAATGAATCATACTTTGAATCTTTGAATTTCAGTTTCTCCTTATCTATGATGAAACGAACTGAAATGATCCATTTCATGACATGTTGTGGGGAGGGGTAAAAGAAAATAAAACGAAATAAAACAAAACAAAAAAGGCGGAAAGCCAATCTTGAATTACCGTAAAAAAATAAATAAATAAACCGACAAAAGTTTTCGACCAACGTGTGACAGACGACAATGAACGCGAACTCATTGTCGCTAGTTATTTGCGTTCATTTGGTCACAATTATATGACAAGCTTTGTACTTTCCGACCAGTTCTCATAGGCTGACCTTGGAATTGACAAACGGCTGATTGGCGCTGACGATTTCATTCGATCTATGAGTCACTGTCGCCGACTATATATACAGGACGGAATTTCTTTCTGCGCTGAGACTTACTCCACCAGTCAACCCTGAAAACAAACCAGTGTTTTAGAAAAGTGAAACGTTAACTCCGAAACCTCACCATGCCTAACTACACTCTGTACTACTTCAATGGCCGCGGACGTGCCGAGATCCTGCGTATGCTGTTCGCCGCTGCTGGTATCAAATACATGGACAAGAGGTTCGAGTTCTCTGAATGGGACCGTTGCAGAAATGGTAAGATTTGTCTTAATATTAGATCTAAGCTTTTCCTTCGTCATATTAGTGTGACTTAATGGTCATTTATCCAAGCAAATAGTTTTTCGCCAACTCTTAAATGACAATTAGTTGTCAAAACTAAATCAGCCCTTATTTATATTTGTGAAATAATCGTCAGAAAGAGAAAGTAAATTTAATTTTCAAATTTGATTCGAGGTTAACATAATGGAAGTAAAAAGGTAAATGCACGAATTTTGAGTATCTCAAGCGTACATAGGAGCAGAGTGACCCAAATTGTCCAGTTGACTGGATAGAATAAAAAATATATATATATATATATATATATATATATATATATATATAGAGTGTCCATAAAGTTCGTGTGATTTAAAAAAAATTTAGAACTTTATTTGTATTTGCGATAGAAATAATCTGTAAAAAATGTTATAATACAATGTTTCAACAAGATGGAGTTCCTTGTCACTTTGCTCTGCGTGTTAGAAAGTTTCTAAATCAGGAATTTCCTAACAGATGGATCGGAAGGGGTGGACCATTTTATTGGTCTCCACGTTTGCCAGATTTGACTCCATTAGATTTTTTTTTTATGGGGACATGTGAAAAAATTGTGTATGCAACCAAACCTAGTTCATTAGAAGATTTGAAAGCTAAAATAACTAGTGTGATTTCAGGTATTACTGTAAATCAGTTGGCAAATGTTCTCCGTGAACTGCAAAATCGTATTACCCTTTGTACTGCTAATGATGGAGGACATGTGGAAACTTAAATAAAATTTCAATAAAACCTTAAAAATATAGATTTACAAAATATTTTCTTTCTAATAATTTTTTTACAAATTATTTCTATCGCAAATACAAATAAAGTTATAATTTTTAAAGTGCACATGAATTTTATGGACATTGTATATATATATATATATATATATATATATATATATATATATATATATATATATATATAGGATTAATACATATATAAAATGTGTCACTTAGTTGACCTATGTTGCCACCAGCTTCCAGACACTAGACGGACCTTCCAATAATCCCTCTATCTATTTGAATAAATTTAATGTACTTTTTTAATCAGGCATTTTTATTACTTCAAGTGTTATTAAAGTGAATAATCGTGTTCGAAATATACGTAATATTTTTTATTATTATATGAAACAATGTGTATTACGTCAGTTTCATAATCTTTCTTGGCTTTGTTTAAAATGCTATCACCGGATGAATTGTCCGGTGATAGCATTTTAAACAAAAACTATACTATACTATACTACTACTTTGTCAATATTGGGACATTGTAATTCATGAGGGGAGACAATCAACGAGGGGTAGATGCCAATGAAAGGTGATATTTATGACATTGTCAAGAAGGCAAACACTATAGGCCAGTTTGGGCCAGTCCTGTGTTTTTCTAGACATTGAATTTTCACTTAACAGTATCCAATGATGTGGAATCTGTAGTCTAGAAAGTTATATAAGCAAATGGAGAAAATAAAAAATAAGGTCAAAAGAGGATTGAATTGATTCAAGACCACAAAATGTGGAGTTTTGTCTGGAAATTCGTTTTTGGTATGAAAAACTGGCTGAGGTACCATAAAAAGTAGTGTCTCAGGAGCGGATGGATTTAAGGAGTTTTGTCAGAATAAGAAAATGGCAGGAGAATGAAAATAAGTAAACTATAAAGACATTGAGAGAAATGACATAGAAAGGAAAGGTAAAAGGTTGAAAGAAGTAGAAGGCTGGAAAATGACAAGAATGATTGAGAAAAGGGGAACAGAAGACAAAGATAATAATTTGGAATTATTTGTTAATTGATTGTGGAATCCGCTGCATTATTGATGGCGTATGACTGAAACTTGTGTGTATATAGAATGGTTTGTCGTTAGGTTTTCTATATGGTTGATATGTAACTTTTCGTCGCTTGAATGTGAATAGGGTCTGCTCAAAATAGTTGCAGTGTAAGGTTTAAAAAGTTAACACCCCACCCAAAAAAAAACTATCAAATAGCCCAAAAATGCATTCGTGTTCTCAATTATTCCCACTCAATAGCCCTTAGAATAATTTGAAACATAACCGTTACACCCAACACAATAACTGTTAATAATTACCCATAAGGCACCATTGTCCAGCATATATAAATAGTCGATCCAAAACACACATAGCTTGAATATTGCCTTCACGCATGAAACAGACTGTTGCGCTGTGTATTTATCTCAATATCAATTTTGATATTTGTATGTGCTCTATCTCTGATATTGAGCATTTTAACCCATAAGTATATCAGACTTGAAAGTATATTTTTATTATATATATATATATATATATATATATATATATATTGTGATTAAAAATAACACTCTATTTTATGTATGATGAGCTTATTGGGTCTACTTATTTTTACACTGATCCCTTTCCAGTTGTCTAATCAGTTTTTTGATGTCAAGATGAAAATAATCAAGGAATGCGCCGTAGTTTTTTTTTGTTTTTTAACCAAGTACTTTCGATCTTTTATGAGATGTCAAAGACAATCTTATTGTAAAAATAAAAATTTTTTTTAATGGAGAATGCGCTCTGTTATAAGTTTTTTTATCCGTTGTTTTAAGTAGACACAATATGACTATTCAATAAAACATGTTTTAATAGAGATATACTGTCTATATATATATATATATATATTTATATAGATGGATCCTGTCGGTTTTCATGGATACCAATTGATTCAGTTATGAAAGACGATAATCTTAAATGGCATTTAAGACCCGCTAGTGATTTACAAAGGGGCCACATATGGAGCAAGTGTGAGGATTGTGAAATGAGATCACTGTTAGATTGGTTGACCTTTTAGATCTTGCTCTCGCTTCTTGAAGATGATTCAGACAAGCAGATTGCTGAGTCCACTAAAACACGTTGATCTCCATTTCCAAGGCTAAACTCAAAGGGTGTTATTTATTGACTGCTGAAAAGTTTTTTTCAGCTTGTCTTTGTAAAAGCCCTGCTGCACATTTGGATCTTGGGTATCCTGTCATCAGACATTCTCAAGACATGACCAGTATAATTGACTTAGGATAAAAGTCTCGATTTCCAATAACACTTATCCGTTAGATATCCTATCTTGAAGGTTAACTGCACAGATTTGCACGCAGAGATTTTTGGAAAATATCTAGCTGGCGTATGGTACGCCAGCCAGATTTTTATCTTGTGGGTATGATAAAGTAGACACAATATGACTATTCAATAAAACATGTTTTAATAGAGATATACTGTCAATAAATATATATAATATATATATATATATATATATATATATATATATATATATATATATATATAGAGAGAGAGAGAGAGAGAGAGACAGTATATATAATTTCCTACCACTTTTCTTTAAATATTTAAAGAGATAATTATTTCTTCATCCAACGATTGTAGGTAAGATGGCAGCGACACATGTGAATGGATGTAGCCAAATATGATGTTCTGACTTTTTGAAATAGACAAAGTTATCAGACAATATCATTTAAAAAAGAAAAAAAAACTTATTATTAGGAACTTCATAAAGGGGCCAATAGATAAAATTAAAATTTGGGACGTCGATTTACGACGCTAATTATACTGAATAAACGGCAATATATATATATATATATATATATATATATATATATATATATATATATATATATAAAATTTAGCCGAAACGTTTCGTGATCTGACGGACTTTATCAAGAATAAAACCAAAATGTTGGTAGTTACACAAAATATTTAAATTAAAAGAAAAAAATTAAATTTTGAGTAGTTAACAGTTTTTTTGTTGTTTATAGATATTTCTTGCAAAATAAAATCATAACATTTGCCTGGAAAAAGTTCATCAGATGGACGAAACGCTTTGGCTAAATATAGTTTTTCCTCTTGTCTTTTTATTTATTCTGTGTCTTCTACAGATACACTCTATCTGAGAATATTTACACAATCATATATATATATATATATATATATATATATATATTTAAAGACATTTTTTATGTATAACATTCTTTTTATAGATACAAGTATTTAAGTAAATGCTCTGTTTATAATAAACAGTATTAAATAACATTTACCGGCCTGAATGTCCGAGAAATTTTCATAGAAAATATTCGTCGTTCGACAGGATTTATTTACTTAAATACTTGTATCTATAAAAAGAATATTAAACATAAAAATGTCTTTAAATAATTCGACAGGATTTGTCCATTTCATTTATATATATATATATATATATATATATATATATATATATATATATATATATATATATATAAATAAAAAAAAAGAACAGTAAGATATAAAATTCGCTTGAAGATGAAATAGAACTAATGCTTTTAATTTATTTGCAAAAAATAAAATTAGGGTTTTTCTATTTTGAAACATGGTTGGAATATAGCGAAAATAATATATATAAATCAATTAATTTATAATATATATATATATATATATAGCCATCGCTTGTGGAATGAGCTGGGTATTCGACTGGATACGAAAATTCGGGTTTACAGAGCTGTTGTACTTGCCATCCTTTTGTATGGCTCAGAGTCATAGATAGATAGATAGATAGAAATCAGTGGATACTTTATCCGTCATTATTTCCTACCCCTTCAAATCTTATTTCAGGGATACCCATCTTTGTGTAGACGCCCTGTTTTTTGGTGTTTTTTTTTTTTTTTTTTTTTTTTACATAGTGGGAATTACGTATACTGTCCCGCATGCACGAACGACATAATAAAGTATATATGTATCGCGGTAGAGATCGAAATTACACCCACTTCATATAAGAAACCATTGTCTGTTGCAATGTGTTATAAACGGCATTGAACGAGAGTGAAAATCAATTGACAATATAATTCAAACGAAATACTTTCCTTATCTTATTCTTCAGATTTCCCCTGTATGTACCTACCTTGTCTGGAGATGGACGGTGGTATGAGGATGCCTGAGACCATGGCCATTGCCAGGTACTTGGCCCGTGAATATGGTAAGTTTGATTCTTTAAATCATTGAAATGGTTGCTAATAATAGCACATAATATCCGGTGTTTCAAAAGACACCAAGGAATCTGAAAGTTTATTAACTTTTTTGTTTATTAATTTTTGTCAGTTTTATTTCAGGTATTTTATCAAAGAGACATCGGAAATGAATTTTGTAAGACTAGTAGAGAAATCTTTCTACCGAATTCGATGTTTAATATCACTGGTCAACAAAAAAAAAATTAATTGGTGTCGAGACATTAAACATACTTTTAAGCTGATTTGAGGTCACTGAATCTGAAAATGACTTGACTTTTTCTTCGTTAGCTACCATTTTTGCTGTACAGAAATGCCTTATTTTTGGAAAAAAAATTAAATTTGTTTTCTGTGTATATGATATTGACCGATGGTAATATTTCTCAGAATAAAATAGTAGAAACCTCTCAATTGGTATTTAATCCAATAAATATTTGTCTGCTTATTGAGAAATACTATTTTTGCAATAACAATCAGAGCCTAAGTCTTTAAAATTAACACGATTGAATATACTAAGACCAACAAGTATTTTCATCAAATCGTTTAATACACTAACATCAGAAATAAAACCTTCGTGAACATAAGAGATATAGTAATTATTTTTTCTTTCTTAATTGTCAATGTTCAATGTTATTTAAGTACCTGTTGATACTCCAGCAGTATCATGTCCAATGGAATAGGTGCATTCAATTAGGATGTCTTTAGTTGGACTTTCTTTCCAACTGTGAAAACAAAATGCTCTCAATGTGCTTGGTTTCCTTCCGTAGTGAAGACATAAAAGTGATGAGATAAATTTATGAATATCAATCAGAAGATTTTAGGGCTTCATTTTTTGATGACACCTTAATTATCAGGTTTACTAATCTTGTATTACTGATAAAGTTTATCAGTTAATTTGAATTTTGGCGATAAATTGAAAACATTCGTTATATCTGTTTTCAAATTTTTGACATAAATAGCTCGGCCTACATGAAAATTGATGGGTTTCTACGACATCTATCAACTTAATTTTGCGATCAGCCAAGATCGTAAATTGATTAATAAATTGAGAAATACTATTTTTGCAATAATAATCCGACCATAAGTCTTTGAAATTAACACGATTGAATATACTAAGACCAATTACAGTTTAATAAGTTTTTTGTTTATTAATTTTTGTCAGTTTTATTCCGGGTATTTTATAAAAGAGACATCAGAAATTGATTTTGCAAGACAAGTAGTGAAATCTTTCTATCAAATTCGATGATCAATAATTTAAACCCAATGAGTATGTAGTTGCCATTACGGTCTAAGAGATTCACCAAATATGGAGAACAAATCTTCAGTAAGTGACCATCCACAAAATGGTCATACCACTTGATTTATTCCCTTCCAGATACGCCGTCATATGCGTCTCTGTCTTAGTAAAACAATTCGATGTACGGTGTTGTGTAATAAATAACGGATAGCCATGATAAGGCATTTTTTGTTCACTCTGAAGCATCTTTTCCACAGACAATGACCGAAGCTAAGCAACGACGAGGCTGGTCAATACCTATAGGGGTGACCACCTGGGAATACCAGTTGCTGTAAGCTTGAATGTGCTGTTAGTGTAATGAATACGGCTCGGAAATGGAAATCATTAAACCGAGTTCAAATTCCAGCCGGGTTCGTTGCATTCACTTACGCGCAAGTACCCCTGGGAAAGGTATAAATCTATCCATTCACCCTCGATCTATGTGTTGAATAGTAACACAGACAGGCCCCTGTTTGGTCAATAATTCAAATTCAGTGGCCATTACGTGTAAGAGATTCTCCAAGTTTAGAGATCAGTCTAACATGATATTTAACCCATAGATGGTCGGAGATGGAAAAATGGATTATTGTCTTTCCGAAATCGAACGAAAGTCAGGCTGCAATTTGAAACCCGGTCGCTTTTTCTCTGATATTAACCGTTATTCCACACGAATATATTATTAATAATGATAATTAGCAATACACTTGAAATCTACACGGACTTCCTTTTTGAAGATAATGATTGGATAAACTCTTTGATACTTCCAGGGAAACATCCTTATTGCATCGTTAAGTACTTGAGGTTACCGACTTTTATAAAATATTGCCACAAGTATGAAAACAGGCTATTATTTACAGAAGTAAGAGGGTACAAATAGAAGATAAAAATATCGATGTTTTGCATTTCACTAAGGCTGACGATAAATGTATGAGAGTGGTATCGCCTCCTCTATCAACATTTCTTTCTTTACCTTCACTAAAACCAAAGGGTGTCTCTGATATAACTATTAATTCTTTCGTTTTCCCTCGCAATACAATCGGAGTGTCCATTATTTATCTAAGGCTATGGCAGTTAAAATCTCACGTGCTATTTATTTAAGAGGGAACAAAGAGTACTGAAATATCATAGTTACATAGATATATAGTATCAATTCATATCTTAAACTTATTTCCTGTCAAGGATTGTAGAATGTTCAGTTAAATTAACAAATATTTATGAAAATTAATTATGTTTTATTGTTTATCTTGATACATTCTTTAATTGTAAAAGGTTACTATCCCAAAAGCCCTATGGACATGATGAGGTGTGACTACATCGCTGACTGCTTCTATGAAATCATGCACGATTACATGAGGTACTACCACTGGAAGAACGGACGCTTCAGGGTGAGTCAGTTATTTGGAATCTGCACATTTCATATCTACATCTTTCAACACTCTGTCTATAGAAATGGATAAGCAAAGAGACTATAGTAAAATGATCATTAAGAGTAAAAGACATTAGCTAAGACGAGTGTCGAATGAATTGTAAATAATGGCTACTTCTATGAAATCTTGAACGATTACATGAGGTACTTCCACTGGATGAACGGACGCTTCAGGATGAGTCAGTTATTTTGAATCTGATCAACATTTCATATTTACATCTTTCAACACACTATCTACAGAAATGGATATGCAAAGAGGCTATAATAAAATGATCATTGACTAAAAGAAATTAGCTAAGACGAGTGTCGAGTGCTTTGTAAATAATGACAGCTTCTATAAAATCATGCATGATTACAAGAGATACTTCCAATGGACGCTTCAGGTGAGTCAGTTATTTCGAATCTGTTCAACATTTCATATCTACATCTTTCAGTACACTATAGACACTTTCTAAAGAAATGGATAAGCAAAGAGGCTATAGTTAAATGATCATTAATACTAAAAGACATTAGCTTAGACGAGTATAGAGTGATTTGTAAAAAGAATACTCTTTCTCTGATTCAATCTTTTTTTTGAGGAGAAAACGTGTCTAAATCCCTCGAGAATCTTTCAATAAATTGTTCGTTTTTCAATGTCCTAAAACAATCGAAAAGTTTATAAATGTTAAGCCGGGTTTTGACTGCATGAATTGAATATTGTGTAAAATCAGAATGGGAAACATAAGCAGGAATAAAATTATTTTATATTTATTTGTTTCAGTTTGGCAATGATGGAATGATGGGCTCGGACATGGGCAGCAACGACATGATGAATTCCAATTATGACGTAAGTTACCAAATTATCAATTCTCAATTCAATATATATATATATATATATATATATATATATATATATATATTACATGAATCATTCATACAAAAAAGTAGATTAGTAAAGTTAATGATATAAATGGCGAAAAACATCTTCGCAAACAAATTTATTAAAATTACATTAACCTACGAACCACTCGATGAATGTTGTGATCCTTGTTTTTAATAACTTCAAGTTGTATAATGGCTTTTTTTATTTTGTTAGTACTTTCAGCTGTACTTACAGCCATCCTCATGCATGGAAATTAATTTTTTTTTAGTAAATCCAGGTAGTAGCGGAAAGAAAGATTAAATGTTAATCGAAATATGTTTTTTTAGAAATGTGTTATTAATAACGGATAAGAAATTTTGGAGCGTGCAGTCGCAACGCTAAGGTTGAATATTTTTTTTTTATTTAAGAGAGTTCGTTTTTTACTAATGCTACTAATACTAGAGCGAGCATATTTTTATACCCAACTTTTTTTTTTCTTCTCATAAAACAGTTTGCTCGAAACCTGTGGTTAAAAAAATTTTTTTTTGGCACATTTCACGTAAATCTTATTGTTCACTGTTTTGTCGTTAATATATAGATATCCATCCAAACACAACTTCTTTCCTTTTTCGCACTCAACAAAAGTTATGTCCATCACTAGGGTTCGAGATCTCCAAAATTACTGAAATAGAAATAGAAAAGAAATATAGAAAAAAAAACAAACAGGACTGCTAAAGTTGAATGTTGTGGCTCCTTTTATATCCAGCTCCGTTGATGTGTCATGAGACGGCGCAGTTTATGTGGTGCTTCGAGCTTCGAAATTACTTCGAGCAATCTGCCTTTCGAGCAATTATTTTTCGAGTAATTGATTTCGAGCAATTTACCTAGATCCATAAATATTTAAAAAAATGAAATTTGGTTTTATGATAACGTGACGCTTCCTCGATCCAAGTAACAACTAGCGTACCCTGCTCCCCTATAAAAAACGGGTCTTTCCTTCTCAATCGAACTACTACCATTTATTAGTCATTAAATTTAACGTCTACCTGCCTAGATCATCGAAAGTTAGACGAGGCATATTTTCTCTGATATTTCCGATGATCTCAACAAGTAGACATTTTGTTGATAAATAAAATTAACGAAATTATTAAATTGTTGATATTTTTTTTTAGATTTATAATTAAATAAATTTGGTCTTATGGGATTTTACAAGATAACAAATAACTCATAATACATCTTTTTCTTTTCCAGAACTACATGCAATGGAGATACATGAACACTTTCAACAGGATCATGCCCTTCATGGAAAGGACTCTGAGCATGCGCAATGGCGGAAACAACTTCTTCATGGGAGACCAGGTAAGTATTTTTATTCTAATCCTTTACCACCAAGCAAGGCAAAAAAAAGCCACTAAGACGCAAGTGTTAGAGAATTTGTGACAAACCACTATTAAGGCGAGCGGACAATAAAAGAAAAAGAATTAAGAAGATAACGATTGACATTGAATTTAAAATTTTTGATGATGAAAGTTGACTGGCATGCAAGATGCAGGAAGAGGATTCTACAAGCAAGAGGTGCGATAGAAGAAACTGTTAGCATAGAACTTACGGTTACAACTAGCCATTCTAAGTGTAAAATGATGAGACATAGCTGACAATCTAGTACTGCGCTTAAATTCATAAAGTCTTGCTACTATTGAGGAAAATTCATTGCGGAGAGTGGACAATAAAAGAAAAGGAATTAAAAAGACAGAAGATAACGATTGACTTTGTATTTAATTTTTTGAAGATCAAATTGAGAATATGAGGAAAAGAAAACACTATTAAGGAGAGAGGACAATAAAAGAACAAGAATTAAGAAGACAGAAGATAACGATTGATATTACATTTAAATTTTAGAAGATCAAATTTGACTCGTAATTAAGAATTCGGAAGAAAGTACTAGAAAGGAAAATGCTGATCAAAGAAACTGTTAGCATATAATCTACAGCTATATTTAAGCATTTCAACTGTAAAGTGATGAGACCTTACCGCCAATCTAGTACTGCGCCTAAATTCGTAAAATCGAGGTATCATAAAGAAGTGTTCATCTGGGCAATTAGCATGAAAGTAATTATAGAAAAGGCAGAGGGAAGCTACGTTACTTAGGCGGGAAAATGAATTAATCGGAAAAATGTTTTCGTTAACCAATTCAACAGGTAATCGACTGACACGTTTATGTGTAGCAATGTATGCGGAATTTTATTCTAGGATTTATTGAAAAATATTTATCGTTTTTTATATGAAATCGATGGTTACGTGTCCCTGACCAAGGTGAACATTCAAGGAAGACATGTTTTTTTTATATTAAAACCGCTAATGACTTTTTCCTCGGTTGGCGCCTTCCAGTCTGAATGAAAGAACAAAAATGTGTGATTCTTTGGGTTATTTTTAATACAATAAGCAGCTTTATTATTTTATTCTGACCGGAGGGCGCCAATTAACGGTTTTAATATAGAAACACACATTTTTGTCGTCCATTCCGTTATCAGGACGCCTACTTGAATACGTAAAGAGGGCGAAATTCCTTGTAAGTAAAAATCATTTTCCACTGTCTCAATTCTCTATTATCTCTTCAAAAATCTCTATCTCATTTTGCGCATATCTATCTATCTATCTATCTATCTATCTATCTATCTATCTATCTATTGTAACATAGGGAAGGCTACTGAATAGAACAACCCAAGATATATAAGATTCGCCAGCGGCGCGGAGAAGTAGTCAACTGCTAGATGTGAGACAAGTGAATTTTACAATGAATCTCCAACAGCAGAATAACCACCAACCGCACCACGCGGTCAGATGTTGCACAAGACGAATTAAACGTGGGATATCCGAACCCGTAGGCTCGGCTACAATTTCCCCGTAGACCCCGTGCAAAACGGGGTCGGGTAACTGTTTCCCGAGACGAGACTCTGCCGTTCGACATGGCCTCGCCTGGGGATCCTCTCTGCTCGAAGGCAGAGAGTTTGACCAGCACAGCTGGAGACGAATCTTCAACTGTAGGATATCTACCAACCACCCCACGCGGTCAAATGTGGCACAAGGACGAATTTAATGTGGGGTATCTGCACCCGTAAGCTCGGCCAAAAATTCACCGTAGACTTTCTCTTAATATCTATCTATCTATCTATGTATATATCTTTCTCTTCATATCTATCTCTTTCTCTTAATATCTATCTATCTATCTATCTATCTATCTATCTATCTTTTTCTTTTAATATCTATTTATGTATCTATCTATCGATCTAACTATCTATCTCTTTCTCTTAATATCTATCTATCTATCTATCAATCTATCTATCTATCTATCTATCGCTTTCTCCTAATATCTAACTATCTCTTACTCTATCTATCTATCTATCTATCTATCTATCTATCTATCTCCAACAACTGACTCATAATTGGTATAACTATTTATGACTCAACTCCATCCGTATTCTTCGAAATATATTAATATATCATTTTGATTCTTTAGATGATGTGGTGTGACATGATGTGCTATTGCTGTATGGAGAACCCCTACATGGAGAACCAGTCCATGTTCAGCAACTACCCCAAACTGATGTCCCTCTACAAGCGCGTGGCTTCTCACCCCAAGATCTGTAACTACCTCAAGAGCCGTTGCAACACCAACTGGTAGACAACATATTTACCTCATTAAATCCAAAATGGCTGATATTAAAGAGATATATAATATCAATTATCATCAATTTGTATTATTGAAAAATAAATCTTTTTAAAAGTAAATATGGCGTCGATATTTTTCTTTGTGAAAATGTTTTTTATCTTTGAAAATGGAGTATATATATCAAAATATACAAGAATTTCAATTATTGTCTGCTAAATATAAATAATTAAATCCAGGGTCACGGGCATTTTTGTTCAAGGTTTAATCACGGGGAAGTATTTATAGTGCCGAGATTGTTAAGATTAAATTGTATTTTAAGACATTTTTAGGTTTCTACATTCTTTTTATAGATACAAATATTTAAGAAAATTCTCTGTTTATAATAAACAGTATTAAACAACATTTACCGGCCTGAATGTCCAAGAAATTTTCACAGAAAATATTCGTCCTCCGACAGGAATCGAACCTGTATCCTATACGGAACCGTCATATAGCCTGATGTGATTTTACCAATTTCGCTACAGAGGAGCGTTCGGTTAGCAAGTTCGATTTTACTGTAATTAAACTACAGTTTTTCCATGATTTTCTCACGTACATTCATATCTGTTCATGGCGTATCCAAATGTAAACAAATGCCTTCACACATTATGAAATGGACAAAGTCCGACAATTATTTGAAGACATTTTTATGTTTATACATTCTTTTTATAAATACAAATATTTAAGTAAATGCTCTGTCTATAATAAACAGTATTAAACAATATTTACCGGCCTGAATATCCGAGAAATTTTCACAGAAAATATTCGTCCTACGACAGGAATCGAACCTGTACCATATAGCCTGACGTGCTTTTACCAATTTCGCTACAGAGGAGCGTCCAGTTAGCAAGGTCGATTTTACTGTATTTAAACTACAATTTTCCATGATTTTCTCACGTGCATTTATATCTGCTCAATGCGTATCCAAATGTAAACATATGACGTCATACATTATGAAATGGAAAAGTCCGACAATTATTTTAAGACATTTTTATGTTTATACATTCTTTTTTATATATACAAATATTTAAGTAAATATGAATGTACCTGAGAAAATCATGGAAAATTGTAGATGGCGCAATGAGTCATTATCTTGGGTGTTAGAATTAACTATGCTGATAGAAATCAGAAATGGTTCAGAAATTTAGTGGAGAACAGTAAAAATTTACAAGCCATTCCTTGCCCCAGCTAACAAAAGCTTCTTAGTCATTTTTTTAGATTAGCTTCCAATTTGAACCCATCGTATCGACTCAACTTACTACTTAGGTAAGTAAATAATTGTGTAATTAGCATAGATACCGAATTGAGAAAGGATTACATCGGTATATTGTTGTTGAAAATTCCGAAAATCCTAATAAAATACACACGACCACAAGGCTTCTGATCGGGAGATTTGATGTTTCGAGGAGCAGGTTGTTCCCAGGTCCACCATGACTCGAGGTGGTAGAACCTGTTAGGGTCCCAGCTCTGAGCTGATAGCGAAACTACAACAAAAACAAAAAAAACTATAAAAGTATAAATATACATTTTATATTAAAATATACTAACAATACATTTTATTTGTAGTTGAAGGCGTACGATTGTGTCCAAATATTTACATTTCGGCATAAAATAAACAGTAGAGGTGTTGATATGCCGCTTAACAAAATCAATACTCCTTTGAAATTGGTTTTTCTACTGCTTATGTCTAGAGATATCTCGTCTAGTTCTTATTTTTATGTTATTGCTGGCCCTGTATCCAATGTTTGCAATGGGCTTCCTTATCTTACACAGATCGTCATACACCTGAAGAAGCTTGGAAGACACAAATGTTGTTCATGATGACGGTCGTCTTCGCGTATAGAATCCAGAGGTTAGCAGTGAATATTTCGAAGACAGTAGGGAAGCGTTGTTCAGGTTAGCAGTGGATATCCCGGTAAAGTAGCAGAGCGTAGTTCTTCCTTCTGTTCCTCTTCGCCTGACAAGCTGGCACTGGACATTCGGAGAGAGTAAACAAAATGGCCGCCTTTATACACGACGGGTTGAATATTTTACGTCTTCTGATTGGTTAACCTTCTATTGGTGGACTATAAAGTGAGTCAAGTCATTTGGGCTAACTCACTAGTACATATATACACAAAAAACTGCAACAACAAAGTCCAAATGTAAATAGTGTAAAAAAAAAAAGCAATGTAGCTTGAATTCAGTTTATAATATGAGGGGGATGTTGTTAAAAGGTTTCAGACCAAGATTTTTTTAAGGGCGAAATATTATTTTTAAGTGAAAAGAAGAACGTTTTATTTTTCCTTTTTATTTAGGCAAGCCAAAACCCTAGCAGGAGTTGTACATTAAAAATCGTTTTTGGAAGTATTTGAAATCAACAATTGTCTCAATTGCACTGTAGGTGGACTATTTGGATTAAATAAATAAATAAAAATAAACGATTTAAATTTAATTTGAAATTTGCACCGGGAATGTGAATGTGCTTTGTATTAAAGTAAACATTCAGGATACAGGTAGATATGCCACTAAAAACAACAACAAACTAACCAACCAAACAACCAAACAACCAACCACTCAATCAACGAACTTATCAACCAACCAATCTGATGTAATGGAATAACCTGTCACCCCCATGAATTACTACACTATAGGTAGGATCGGTATCTAGCCCCCCCCCACGAGGGTTGCAAGTGGCACAAGGCCGAGTTTATCGTGGGTTTCATTTGAGCCCGTAGGCTCAGAAGAAAAAAATGCCCGTATAACTCGTATAAACGAGATCGGTTGTCTATTTTCCCGAACGAGATTCTGCCCTTCGGCGGAACCTCGTCCGGGTTCCTTTCTGCTCAGAGGCAGAAAGTTCGATCGTCAAGTCGAGAAGCTCGGCTTGAATCTTAGGATCTACCTATAAGTATCCGTAAGGCATCGGGCTACAGGAGCCTCGCTGGGATCTGTTACTCAGGTGTTGGCTGTTGTCGAACTCTCTGCCTTCGGGTAGAGAGGAACCCGTACGAGGCTGTGCTGAACAGCAGAGTCTCGTCAGGGGAGGTAGATAGACTCGATCCCGTTTATGCGGGGTCTTCCGGGAATTCCGTGCTCGGGAACCCCGCATTAAATTCGGCCTTGTGCCACATGTGACTGGGGGCAGTTGCTAAATACCGCCTAGCTGGGACGTGTTACTCAGATCTTGACTGTTGTCGAACTCTCTGCTCTCGGCCAGAGAGGAACCCTGACGAGGTTATGCCGAAGGGCAGAATCTCGTCCGGGAGGTAGACAGACCCGAACTCGTTTATACGGGGTTATGGAGAAATTTGGAATTTTTTTCCACAGGCTCGGATTGCCCCACATTAAATTCGGCCTTGTATCACATCCTACCTCATGGGGAACCCGGTAAATTTCTAAATTGACGAGATTTCGAAAGATTTATTCAAATGCCTAATACTTGTTCAGGGACTAACAGCTCCCAGGTCGCGGATTCTTACTATAATTGAAAAAGACGATGAAATTACCTTGCAAAAAGTTACTGAAGAGTGCCACAGTCTGATTAACGTCAAACGAGATAATATTTTCGTTAAGAGGAAAAGAATGAAAAAAAGAAAAAAAGGTCCCAAACGTGAAGAGCAAAAAGAAATGTGAATGCTGCGGTGGATTCAATCACATAAAAAATAACTGCTGGTAAAAACAAGGTATGTTATGAATGTGGCCGTAAGAGATATAAAAGGTCCCAAGGCTATAAAAGAAAGAAAAAAAAACAGTGAAAATGTGAATGTGGTTCTCTCCAGAAAGGAATTTGAGAATGACGAAAAACGGAAGTACGTCGATGTACGTATAAATGGACATAGGGTAACACTTCTTTTGGTTTCAGGCTTTAATATTAGTATAATTGACAAACAGACATGGAGGAAAATAGGTCGACCAAAATTGACTGACACGAACAAAATTGCTAGTGGTATTTCAGGAGAAACACTCAAATTTAAGGTTGAACCTAAGTGTAATGTTTCGTTTTGTTATAAGACTTTCAGGTGAAAACTCCGCGTACATCAAGCAAACAACTCCTGCCTTTTCGGCGTAGATTGGATCGTGCTATTTAATTTATGGGAATATCTCGTAAACTCTTTTTGTAATCATGTGAACAGCTGGGAAAAGAAAAAAATGGAAAGAGAAAAATCCATGCATAATTTGAAGGACGAATTTCCCAGAGTTTTCTCTGAAGGCTTGGGTTTGTGTTTGAAAAAGGAGGTAAAATTTGAAATAAAAGAAAATGTTACACCGATTTTCAGGCCTATTTTCTTCATTAGATTCTATTAACAAAGAACTAGAAAGACTGGAAAAATTAGGTGTTATTTCGAGAGTGGATCCCTCAGATTGGGCAACGCCTACTGTGTATGTTAAAAAAGAAAGATAATGGAATTACAGTATGTGCAGACTTTTCGACAGGTCTATATGACTCTAGTTACCTGCTTCCCTCAACTGAGGACATTTTCTCAAAATTAAATGGGGGTAAAATACACTCTAAAATAGACACATACTTACAAGTCAAAGTCAATGAAGAGTGTTCCAAGTATCTGACAATTAACACACAAAGATTATTTAAATTAAACCG